AGAATTCAAGCAGCCACTTTACGTGTCTAAGTTTGACGTTTTGATTTCTTTTTAATTGTTTTGTACCAAGTTTTATGTTCTTTTTAATGGATGAACTCTTGGAATTGCAAGTAGGTGTATAAGCTTCCACAAGAAATTTCCAGAATCTTGCTTCTTCTTCAAATTTGCACCAGAAAACAATTTCTCGAGCCTTGTTTCCTCTTCAAATTTGTACCAACAAACAATTTCCAGAGACCAGAATCTTGCTTCCTCTTCAAATTTGCATCAGAAAACAATTTCAAGAATCTTGCTTCCTCTTCAAATTTGCACTAGAAAACAATTTACAGATACTAGAATCTTGCTTCCTCTTCAATCAAACATCAGTAAACAATTTCTAGAATCTTACTTTTTCCTAATTTTCAAACATGAATCCATCTAACTCTACACTAGAAACACCTCAAAGGCCATCAAATCTTCGTGCAAATCAATTCGATGATAAGCCACTATGGAACCATGTGAAGGTACTCACCACAGCAGTGAGCAGGGGTAGAAATCGGACTTGGAGTTGCAACTATTGCAATTAAAAAGTGACTGGATCTTACACTAAAGTGAAGGCTCGTTTGCTAAAACTTCCAAATCACGGAGTTGAGTGTTGTAAAGTTATAACGGACAACATTCATCAATCAATCAAGTGGGAACAGAAGCAAGTCGAGAGGAAAATATTACAAGATGAGGTTCATGAAAGGAAAAGGGCTGAATATATTTCCTTACCAAGTGGTTCTGATTTATTGCAGCAGAAAAGAAAGAAAAAAGAGGAGAACTTGGACCTCTAGAAAAGACATTTGACATGGCGCAAAGGGAGACGGCTGATAAAGAGACTGGCAGAATGTTCTTTGCCAGTGCATTGTCCTTCAATTTTGCAAAATCTCCTTACTTCAGACAGTTTTGTAGAACTTTGGCCAATAGTAACTTGGCTGGTTATACCCCTCCAACTTATAATAGATTGCGTACAACATTGCTTGCACAAGAGAAGGAGCATATCAATAGAGAACTTCAGCCTATTAAAGATTCATGGAGGAAAAAGGGAGTGTCTATTGTTTCTGATGGTTGGTCAAATAAACAAACGAGACCTCTAATAAATGTAATGGGAGCATCTGCAGGTGGAGCCATGTTTATTAAAGCAATTGATGCAAGTGGCAATATAAAAGATAGAGAATACGTGGCAGCAACGTTTATTGATGCTATCAAGAGAATTGGAAGCTCAAATGTTGTTCAAATCATAATAGATAATGCAACCAACTATAAAGCTATTGGGTTAAGCATTGAAACAAGGTATCCTCATATCTTTTGGACTCCTTGTGTGGTACATAGTCTAAATTTGGCTTTGAAAAGTATATGTGATCCTTCTGAAAAATCATCACAATATGTATATTGTAAGTGGATTGCTGATTTGGTAAGTGATGTGAAAAATATTCATAATTTTATTGTTAATCATGGAATGGCATTATCTATATACAATAAATATTCTAAGTTGTGTTTGTTGAGGGTGGCTGATACAAGATTTGCATATGCTATTGTAATGAGTAAATGATTAAGAGAAGTTAGGCCAGAACTTGAAAAAGTAGCGGTGGAATCAGATTGGAGAATTTATAGGGACGGAAATAATGAAGGCAAATCACAAGAAGTGAAAACGTGTGTAGTCAATGATGTTTGGTGGGATAATTTAGATTATTTTTTATCCTTCACTGAGCCTATTCATAATATGTTACGAGTTGATGATACTGATTCTCCAGTTTTACATTTAATATATGATATGTGGGATACAATGATTGAAAATGTGAAAAGGATTGTATTTGAGCACGAAGGGATAGATATAGTTTCTGGCCATTCAAATTTTTTTGATGCTATTCATCAAGTTTTGGAGAGTAGATAGAATAAGAGTAACACTCCTTTGCATTGTATGGCACACTCTTTGATTCCTAAGTATTATAATGAATCTTTGCTTCAAGATGGTAGTAGCGGAGTTCTGAGAATTGTACCACATGAAGATCAAGAAGTTTCATTGAATAGAAGCAAATGCCTAAAAAGGTTGTTTTAAGATCCAGTTGATTTGAAGAAAGCATATGTTGAATTTGGGTCCTTTACTAGTAGATCGGAGTATTTCAATCAACCCCATGTTATTGATGCAAGAATGTACAAAGAGTCAATCTCTTGGTGGGCCAATCATGGTTCCTCAGTACCTTTGTTGCAATCTCTTGCATATAAATCGCTCTCACAACTGCCATCCTCTTCTTGTTGTAAACGAAATTGGAGTATGTATTCACTAATCCAGACTATCAAGAGAAACAAATGGCGACGAGTAGGGCAGAAGACTTGGTATTTGTTCATTGTAATCTTCGACTCCTATCACGAAAAGAAGATGAGTACAAAAATAGGCCAACAAAATATTGGGATTTGTGTACGTATACGATATTCTTACAATACTTGTTTTCTTGAGATATTTAGTTTTTTTACTTTAATATTTATATATCTATATTTTTTGTAGGTGGAGATCAAATTGAATTGGATAGACAAGGTAGCATTGAGATGGCGGAACTATCCCTTGATGAACCAGAATCGGAGGCAATTACATTTGATGAAGAAGATGAGTAAAGCTTGATTGGGAATGCTTGTTTAGTTTGATTTCCAGTGGAAAACTTCTTGCTTTTTATGTTATGACATTTTGGACATTTAACTTTATTTTGAATTGTGTTTTGTTTGAATTTGGATTTTATCATTAAATGAAACATTTTTATTTTAGTAATTTGTTGTTTAGCTTTAATATTTTAGTTGTTTCCTTTGATTAAATCATTTTTTAGAAAATAAAAAAATTAATAATAAAAAAAAATGTAAGACGTGTCTCCGTACCCTTGTCCAAAATTCAAATCCTTTTTAACCGTATCCCCATATCTTGATTTTTAAAATGAGAAGGATCCACTCCTGGATATGTACCCATATCTGACACCCACACCCGAGTCCGAGCAACATAGCTGTACAGCAACCGGTGGGGAGTCATTCTCGTGTTTAGGGTTCTACACAAAGAAATCAGGGTGTGAGACAGAATGAGGCTTCTGATCACCGTAGTTTTCTACGGTGCTAGTCTTGTGGGAAGTTTCATCCAGGTGAGTGTCTTAGAGGAGCTGGAGTTTGTTACCAGTGTGGACAGATAGGACACATGAGAAAAGATTGTCCAAACCTATCTCAGCAAATTGGAGAATCTCAGAAGGTTTTTCCTCAGCCAGGGATCAGAACAGCTA